CGGGCAAGGAGGCCCCGCTGCCAGAGAAGAGCGAGAGGTGCAGACCGCGCCCCGCGCTCTCCACGCCGCCGCCTCCCTTCTCCCCCATCCAGCCGCGCCCCCACCGCCCCTATTGCCCCCTTCTCCCGCCGCAGGGGCTTGAGGGGCGATGCCCTCCGCTGGCACCGCCTCGCCTGGGTCGCAGTCAGTGCACCGGCTCTTCCTTCTCAACCGCGAGTGTCCGACGCTCCGCTTGTATAGGAGCGGGCTCTGCACGCCTTCTGTCGTCACCACCTCACCGCCTCACCGTCATCACCGTCGTTGGCCTCACATTTAACTAGGTACGCGCTCGCAGGGATGCAGCGGACGGGCAGCGAGGCCGACCCGACCTTCGCCCCTCCGCCGCATATGGGCAGCACGGAGGCGCCACGCCGCCCCGCGAGCCCGCGAGCCAACAGCCGAGCTGCACTCTCTCCTTACTCCCTCCCTTGCTGCTCACGACTACTTTTAGGCGCTCCACCGCCCGAGCCAGGAGTCGAACTTCACCGCTCCAGCGGCGCTCAAGCATCTGGAGCAGCGGCGCTCGACGACGGTCGGTGGGGGGCCGAGCGAGTCGACGGCGTCTGGAGTCGAGAAGAGCGGCTCGCGCCGCTAGATGAGGAACATCTCCCCACATCTCCCCACATCTCCCCACATCTCGCGCTGCCAGATGCGGGAGACAGATCCGATCAGCGCACTCCACAGAGGACCACGGGTATTCGGCGCTGACTTCCGCTGTGTGATGCGACCGCTCTCACTATGCAGTACACGCGGGGTGAGTGTGTGCAATGTAGGCTCGTGCTGCTCGAGCTACTCGCGCTCTAGCTCATCTGGTCGGCAGGCCGCAGAGGCACCTCTCCCGATGGCGACGAACCGGCCGGAGCCGATTGAGGAGCGGGCGGTGCGGGCAGTCGTCGCCTTGCCGTCGACGATCGTGCGGGCTAGCGTGCAGGTGGTCGCAGACTATACGCCGGTGCCTCTCCCGCGGAGAATCGTCCCGCGGAGGTCAGTGCAGGACGGGACGTCGCCACCGGATCCGCATAGCCCGTAGGTTTGCACAGCCTTGGTTACCGACCGTACCCGGGAGGCGGGTTTTCGCTGCGCGGGCTATTTTTCTTTTTCTCGCGATGTCCACCCCGCCGCGCCGCTCGCGCCGCTCGCGCCGCCTCGCCTCCGCCACCACCGCCGCGCCCTCGCCGGACATGCCGCCGCCCGCCCGCCTCCTCGACCTCCCCAGAGAGCTCCTCGTGCGCGCCCTCTCTCACTGCGATCCCGCCGACATCGCTCGCGTCGCGGCCGTCTCGCTCTTGTTTCACGCCTCGCTCTTGGAGGAGGCCATCCGCTTGTGGGCGCAAGAGCGCGGCTTCGAGCTGCCGGCGCAGCCAGAGGGCGAGGGCTGCGCCGTGCGGTGGCTGTGCTTCGCTGCGTTGCTGCGCGAGTCCAACCCGCCGGCGAGGGCGGCGGCAGGCATTTCGCACAGCGCCTTCATCGGCGGCGAGGGGCGGCTCTCGTCGTGCGGCTCGGCGCTGACCTACAACCAAGGGCTCCTCGGGCACGGCGAGGGGGTGGCGCGGCTCAACACGCCGACCCGCCTCCCCTCCACGCTGGGCGGCGAGCGTGCCGTGAGCGTGGCGGGACTTGCGCACAGCCTCGCCCTCACCGCCGGCGGCAGCGTCTGGGGCTGGGGCTGGGGAGCCTTTGGCCAGCTGGGACACGGCGACACGCAGAACCAGTGGCTGCCCAAGAAGATCGAGGCCTTTGCTGATCGGCGCGTCGTCGCCGTGTCGGTAGGGCCTTTGCACAGCTTCGCCCTCACCGCCGACGGAGCCGTCTGGAGCTGGGGCTGGGGAAGGTTTGGCAAGCTGGGCCACGGCGACGAGCAGAACCAGCTGCTGCCCAAGAAGATCGAGACCTTTGCTGACCAGCGTGTCGTGGCTGTGTCGGCTGGAGGCAGCCCCAGCCTCGCCCTCACCGCCGACGGCGCCGTCTGGAGCTGGGGCATTGGGTCCTCTGGCCAGCTGGGCCACGGCGACCAGCAGAACCAGCTGCTGCCGAAGAAGATCGAGGCTCTGGCTGGCCAGCGTGTCGTCGCTGTGTCGGCTGGAGGCGCGCACAGCCTCGCAATCACCGCCGACGGCGCTGTCTGGAGCTGGGGCGTTGGAACCTGGGGCCGGTTAGGCCACGGCGACGAGCAGCGCCAGCTGCTGCCGAAGAAGGTCGAGGCTTTGGCAGGGCAGCGCGTCGTCGCTGTGTCGGCGGGATCCGAGCACAGCTTCGCCCTCACCGCTGACGGCGCCGCTTGGAGCTGGGGCTGTGGAGACTACGGCCGGTTGGGCCACGGCGACGAGCAGGGCCAGCTGCTGCCGAAGAAGATCGAAGCCTTTGCTGGCCAGCGTGTCGTCACTGTGTCGGCTGGAACCTTCCATAGCCTCGCCCGCACCGCCGATGGCGCTGTCTGGAGCTGGGGTGCGGGCGGCCACGGGGGCGTTGCAGGCTGCCTAGGCCACGGAGAGGACGTGTCGAACCAGCTGCTGCCCAAGAAGATCGAGGTGTGGGCGAGCCGGCCGCCCACGCCTACTTCCTCTGACGGAGAGGACAGCAGCGGCGGAGAGGACATGTAGCGACGCGGACAAATTTCTTTGAAAGCGGCGGCCAGGCCACGGAGGGGACCTGTCCGACCAGCTGCTGCCCAAGAAGGTCGAGACGTGGGCCTGACCCACCGTCCTCTCGTCGTGGTTGGTTGTGGGGCGCGCGCGGAGAGCGGCTAGGATCCCGTGCGCGAGAGGTTTGGAGCGCGTCTGGAGTGCGTTCGCCCTCCTGGCACCTGGGACCCAGTGTGCCGTCCGACTGTCGTCGCTGTCTGTTCTCGACTGTCGTGTGCGCGTTCTTGGGCCCGGGATTTTGTGTGTGAGAGAGGGGAAGGGAGCGTAGGGAGAGATCGAGGACAACAAAAACCTATTCACACAACGCACAGAAGGAATCGCCAAAGCTGCTCGAGCTGATTCGCGCAGGCTTCGAGCTCAAGCCGGAGCTGCAGCGGCTGCAGCCTGCAGGAGCGCCTCCGCTGCGACTTCGACATCGCCGCGCTGCGCGCCGGACCTCTCCGCGGAGGACCGCTGCTGGCAAATCATGACGGACCACCTCGACAAGCTGGAGCATCAAACCCCCACAGATCACAACAAACAACAACAAAAACCTATTCACACCTGCGCCGGGAAGAGTCGGGTAAAGCTCCCAAAGCACAGCGAAGGAATCGCTCGCCTGTTCTTCGTGCCCACATGCCGCTGCTGTCGGCTACCGTCGCTCTTCTGTCTTTCGCCGGCCCGTCCGCCTCGCTGCGGCTCAGCCCCGCCGCGCCGCGCATGTCCGCCGTCGACGCGCCGCCGCAGCAGGCCGCGTCGCCGGCGCCCGACGCCATCAGTAGCAGTGCTCCGCTGCACGTGCTGATTGCTGGCGGCGGCGTGGGCGGGCTGGCGCTCGCCAACTGCCTGGAGCTGTCGGACGCGCCGGTCACCTACACCGTCCTCGAGCGCACCTCCGAGTTCAAAAAGTTTGGCGGCCCGATCCAGCTCGCGTCAAACGCGATGCAGGCGCCAGCGCTGCTGCCTCCTCCTCGCCGCTGCCTCTCTCTCCTCCGCCGTCGCTCTCACTGCCCAGCTTTCCTCGCCGCCGCCGCGCTCGCGAATGCACGCACCGCTCACAAGA